GTCCCTGCTCCATAATGCTTTGGGAAGAACCCAGGTAGTTTTGGGTCCCTGCTCTATAATGCTTTGGAGAAGAACCCAGAGTAGTTTTTGGTCCCTGCTCTATAATGATCTTTGGGAAGAACCCAGAGTAGTTGTTGGTCCCTGCTCTATAATGAATCTGGGAAGAACCCAGAGTAGTTTTGGTTTTCAATAAGAGTAATGACCTTTTTATGATTGGGTCCACAAAGACGTGTAAATACTGATTCATACCTTTCATAAAGTGTTCAATTGCTGTTGTCATGGGGTAACTCCTAATAAAATACTTTGTGTACTATTCTCGTGGAGTGGGTACATTGACACATGGAGAAAGAACAGAACAGAATGTAAATAAATGGCTGAATATCAAATGAACATCCTGTTTAGCTTTATTCACGTTCTTATAGTGTTTGTGGTTCAAATGAGATCACTACACTCTGCATGTGCAATGAAAATTATAGGATTTTGAGCATATTTCAGACACACATCTCTGACATGCCTTGCCTGTTCGTGTTCAAACATTATGTGGGACTATGTGATGACATTACTTGTTTTGTTTTGGTGACGTCTAACCTCATGGCTTCAACCCATCCAACTGGTCTTACATGTGTATCTTTTATCTTTCTTTCAGAAAAGACAGAATCACGATACAAGAGAAGGAGAAAGAAGCTCTTAAACAGAGGGAACTTGAACTTGAGGCTAAAAAACTGGCAGCTGAAAGAAGAAAGCAGTCAATAAAAGTACATTTTCTTTAAACCCATAAACTTGTGTCTATAAACTTGTTGGATTGATGACCTTGATCTTTAAACATGTGATTTGATTCCATGAAACTTAAATGTAGTTCAAAACAAGGATTTATGGTTTGGACTTTGTATGTTCATTCATTTTCATTTTTCAAACATTGACCAGTTCAAAGCTGGAGCACAAACAAGTCATGATGGGAGATTTAGGTAAATAGTTTCATAGATCTTTGGCCGACTTTAGTAAAAAACAAACATACATTTGAATATGTCATCAACCATTTCTCACGCATACATGAACGAATTTCATTCAAACTTGATATCAGTCATAGTGGGTTACTGATGCACATCCTTTATTTTATGATTTGATTCAAAACGGCCAACTACAACATTTTTTTTTACTTTTATTCATGCTACACTATTTTATTTAGGATGATTTTAGTTTAGTTCATGAAAGATCACTTTGTTACTAGTGTTATTTATTGTTACCGAGAGTAACTGCTGCTTTGTTTCTTGATAGATGGTTGAGACTGAAGCCAGAAAGGAGATGCAAAAGGAACAGAATGCGGAGGACCCCACCGACGTTGTCAATACTGATGATGAGAATGATGAAGAAGAATATGAATCATGGAAGGTTAGAGAATTGAAGAGAATTAAGAGAGACAGAGAAGAACGTGAACAGTAAGTAATAATTTAGTTATTAAAAAGCATGTATATCATGTCTATGATCTGTACATTCAACCAAACTCTTCTCTTCTCTTCTACTAGCTTCTTAGTACTTAGTAGTCTGATTCGTATATAATCTGTAAAGCAAATCCATGTCTAATTCTTGCTGCTTTAGAATGTTTCTTGAAATTCTTCTCACAAAATGAAATAAAAGTCATGCTTGGAATTGAGTTACAGAGTAATTGATGACATGAACCACACGCAATACACACTGTGTTTAGTGTGGTTTATGTCATAACCGAGATTGATGTAATAATATACAATAGACTACAAAAATGTTGTGTATGTTTATTAGTTGTGTTGCTTACCATCCTTGTAAATCAAGCAGTTTAATTTTCACCAAACTTATTGACAATTCCATATTTTCAAATTCAGGTTAGAGAAAGACAGGCTAGAAATTGACAGAGTCCACAACATGACAGAGGAAGAGCGAAGAGCCGACTTAAGGAATAACCCAAAGCTTGTGACAAACAAACCACAGAAAGGAAAATACAAGTTTTTACAAAAATACTATCATCGTGGTGCCTTCTTTTTGGACAAGGAAGATGGGGTGTTCACTCGGGATTTCTCTAAACCAACGTTGGATGATCACTTTGATAAATCTATTCTACCGAAGGTTATGCAGGTTAGTTTGGAACATGTTTTTTTTTTTCACTGTTGACACCACACTAGTGTCATTAAGCATGTATAGTAATGAAACAAGTCTTGTCTACATGTTCTTTTATTGTCTCCTCAGTAACAAAAAAAATTTTGTTTGTAGCAATATTTTGTTTTTATTCCTCTTCATTTTGGTGTCAATATTCAAATACTTATGCTATACCACAATCAAAGATTACTGATCAAAAATCAGTGTATAATGTAATATTATTAAATATTTCTTTCCTTGTTTAAGGTTAAAAACTTTGGTCGTTCAGGTCGTACTAAGTATACTCATCTTGTTGATCAAGATTCTACACAGTTTGAATCTCCATGGTCGTCAGACGGAGCTCTCAACCTTAAGTTTCAAAATCAACATGCTGCCGGGATGAAACAAACTTTTGAAAGACCCACCGTTCGAAAAAGAAAGAAGTTAACGTAGTATGCACTGCCAAGATTATTTTTCAACAGTATGTTGACAAATGACAGCAAGAAAGTTTTCCATTGCCAAGACTTTTATATTAATTGATGAACTACTGCTGAGAAAGAATGATGAAGAGAAGCAGTACTATTACACTTGGTCCAAGAAACTATTACATGGTTTAAGACCAATGTGTGTATATATGTACAATAGACATGGTGTGTGTGAAATTCTGCCTGACGATGTAACACACACTGTCTGATGTGTGTGTTTCACTTGCCATGTAGTGTTGTGATACATATTTGAAGGATTATTTAAGTAACAGTTTCATGACTGGCTACAATTGAGATAGCAAAATGTATTGAATGATAATACCATTTAAATTCACCAACACTCAAAATATAAGCAAGCTCTGTTGAGTTTCCCGTCTTGTTTTGTATACTTTGATATCTATGAGTCTTTGTAAGTTGTTCATAACATTCTCCAGACAGGATCAATGGGATGACAATATGGTATTTGAGTTGTATGTGTTTTGGTGGATATAAACCCTCCTTGCACCATTTCTCATCTCTGCGTGTATGGCCAAAACAAACATGATTTGTTTCTAGTCAGTGCATGTATAAGCTCCCAACTGTTTTGTTTGGATTCTGTCGAAAGATAAAGAAATGCGAAGCTTGTCGCATAACATTTATATCATCTCTCACCCAAAAACAAATGTTTTTTATCATTTTGACAATTTGGTATTTTAAAAATTACAATAATAAATTCTTTTTGATGGTTGCAAAATAAAATTGTAGTAGTTTTAATACTAGTATTGAATTCCAACTTCGTAAGATCTGCAAACAATTTCACACTGACCCCTATAAGCATCATAAGGGCTTTGAATTTTGTACAGTTCATGAGAAATCGTATCCAACATAATCCTGAAATCAAATTTAGAAGATTCTTCTAAAATAAAGTAAAATGGCCTTGAGTGATTACAACAATGGTAGAGTACTGGTATGTTTGATTTGGTAACTGTACACCACAGCTTCAGTGCAGTCGAGCTTCAGTGCTCCAATATTTCAGAATTTGTTACCAAACCAACTGAGTTTATCATTTCTGTTAGTAATTACAATAATCAGTGGAAAGTGAGTGATCTGTATATGATACAAAATGTGGAATACAACTTTAATAAACTCTTCCCAAATATATAATATTATACCTATGTCACTGTAACGCCACTGTAAGTTACAGCATGCCTTAATTTTGCGGTATTTTACGGGGTATTTTCATCCTACCATATAAGGAAATGCGAATTCCAAATATGGAATGATTACGCACGTAAACAAACATGGCTGCCACCAGGGTTTGACTGGAGTCCACACAAAGAAGTTTGCTGATTCTGTTCTAAACATTTTGGCATTCCCATGGTATATCCCTAGAAAGAAAAGATGTATAATAATAAGGTTATTACGAGAATACCTCAAAGTACCGGTATGTACTCTGACAGTAACGTGGTCACATCGCCTCCGCGCATACTCCCACTGTACTGTCTTTGCGTATATTTTTAGGTATCCTCATAATAACTTTGTAGTATTGCTGACTCGATCTGTCCCATACGTTTAAACTTGTGACAGAATACCAGACAGAATACCAGAATTTACGTCATTGTACATCGCATATGTTATTGTCCTTAACAATTCACGTTACAGACATTGCCTAAATAAATTTTGGTATTCTGTGAGGAACCCTGTATTCAATATGAATTCATTATTTTGAACATGGTAACATGGAACCATGTACTGTATTTGTTATATTATTATCACCATGTGTTTACAAAAATGACATGTTCTGCATACAGTAAGTGCAGATTTTGGTTAATGCATGCATCTATTGATGTATTTTTCCAGATAGAGCAAAGTACGTTATTAATTTTCTCAGCTTTCATCATGCATTCACCAAAGACTTTATATAAATGTAGTTTCTGCCACTCTAGTGGAATGTGGTACAGCAGTCAGCTGTGTACATAATGCTTTGTGTACTGAATAACCATTACTTTGTAAAATGTTAAAATAACTGTATTGCATTCATCTTTCTGTGTCTCATCAGTTGGAGGGGGTGTCTTGAATAAATCAAGAATGTATCATTTTATGGAATAATTATTTGTGGTGATCTTATTGACCTCTGAACATCAATTTGTTGTCTGCTGATATAACTGTCACAGCGACAAATTGTCAGCATTTATACATCATTTTTTTAGTTCCTGTTTCCGTACGTGTGTATTCAGAGCTGTATCTGTACCCTGGAAACAATTCTCTTCAAATCTCATAAATATTCTTAAAAAAAAAAGTGAGAGACAACACTTACACTCTATGTCCAGAACTGTCGCCTGGTACAAAAACATTGAAAAAAAAAATATCTTAATACCCTATCTGTTACAAATGCGGTGATTTCGTGATTCAGTCTATCAAATAGCAGCCATTTTTATTGTAAAAATACATGAAAAACTGATATTTTGAGAACTAAATCTTGGGCATGTGTTGATCAATTTCCTTGGTGGAATGATTAACCATTATGGGTAGTTTATGCACACCACTGATTTGTAAATGGCCGACTGGTGGCCATTTTGTTTTTGACAAATTCTATTTTAGACGTGCATCTCGCACATATCGCGGTACAATGTTATCTGATCAAGGACAGCCAACCGCTGACTGTTTTAATTGTGAAAAACACACTAAAAACAGTTATGTTGACAGAACCAGACCTTGGATACTTATTTGATTTTCTTCTAACTTAGTGGAAGGAGTAACCATTATTCAAGGTTGATGAACATCACTTTGATCTGTATAGTCTAAACTCAATCCATCTGGTCACTCAAGTACTGCATTATACGCAGGACAAGGAAGAGTTATTTTTAATTGTGTATAGTGTCATTTCATGAGTCACAGTGAATATTAATAGGAACCTTTATACTAATAATTTTTTGTGCTATGCTGTTGACATTTGTTTTCTTGCTATGAAAAGATATCATTCATTGACACACAATGTGCATCTCCTTAGTGAAAAATACCGCAAGATACAGGTTTTCATTCCAAAACTACTTTTATGACTCACTTTATAAAACACTATATGCTTATTGTCTTCAACATTAAATACACAACGGAACTGTGCATTGCAAAATGTTTGTATAAATACATCGGCGTATGCTTTGGTTCTACCCAATGAGATGTCTTTGATTGCATGCGTGTCATGAGTCCAC